TGGAGCCAGAAGAGACTCGTGGCGCCTAGCTTTTCGTGAGGGACACGAGAGCATCATGAGAGCCAATACTGAGCAAATTCTAAGCTTAGTGGAAGCTCACTGGTGAGCAAAAGGCCAGAACATTGGTGCTGAGGATGTGTGTGCTCGGTTCTGTATCATGACTCTGGACATGCTCCTTCCTTGAGGGGAGTAAGGGTGGCCTGTGGGAATTTCATTGGAAAAGCTCATCCCCCCATCCTACAGCCCCATCTCCAAGAACATTAAAAAGACACACGGTTTTGGTCAACTGTCTGCCAATTTTTGAATAGTTTTATTCGTCTTTTTCTTGTTGAGACGTTGACGAGTTCTAGCGATTTCATAGATGAGTCCTTTGTCCGCACATGAACCTGCCAATGGCCCCCTCAGCCTGTGGTGTCTCCTTTCGTCTCTCTGGGGAGGTCTCTTGACACACTTCAGGGGCTAATGTTTAGGAGGCCCTAGTCGATCTAGTCTGTTTTTGCTGTGTGTGTTCTTTGTTGTTCGCTAGTACGTGTATTACAGTTTACTAGGGCCCCTATGTTGGTCCCTATGTTCTCACTGATGATCTAGTTCTAGGTTTTACATTTAGGTCTTGAATCCGTCTTGAGCTCATTTTTATATGTGGAGCGAGAAATGAGTCTTATTGTATTCTGAATAAAGAAATCCATTCCTCCCCCTCCGCACCCCCAAGCACCGTTTGTTGAAGAGACTATCCCTTTCCCGTTTAATGCATTTCAACCCTTTGTCAAAAATCAGGCATCTAAAGGTGGATGGATTTCCTTCTGGGTTCTTAATTCTGTTCCACCCGCCGGTCTGCAAGTATGTGTCTGTCATTGTACCAGGACTAAGCTGTTTTGAGATTGAAAAATGAGGGCCCTCACACTTCGTCACCCCCGACGCTTCAATTTCTTCATGGATAGTGTCCTTTCTAACATCCTACCACCCGTCTGGTGGTTGGGCATTAATGGTCAACATTCAATTCTTGAAATGGTCTCTGCATTTAGATGGAACCTACTCAAGGTCACCCTGTGGCTCTGGTGAACTTGCTTTAATTTGCTTCCCTCTCAACTTGAATGTAATAAGAGATTTTGCTGACATTTCCCTGGGAAACAACATACGTGCTCTGCTACCGGAGCAAGTGGCTTGCTCTTTTTGAACCTTTGCTTCCTCATCTGTTAAAGAGGAATGATCCTAATCATAGCGGGAAGGCTGGCAAGGCACTGGCGGAGGGGATGGGCCATGCCTGACTTGGAAAAGGTTTCCAGGAGTTGGGAATCAGTTCAGAGAATTGGTGGAAGGTAAAGGAATAGGTCCGTATTTGAATGTGAGACAGCTTATCCTGGTCGGGAAGACCAAACAGAAAGCTTGGCATCACAAGAGGCAGCTCGTTAGAGTTGGTTGTCCTGGAGTCAATTCCGAGTCACGGCACCTCTGTGTGTGCAGGGTAGAACTGCCTCATCGTGTTTCCAAAGCTGTGACCTTCCTAAGCTATCAGGAGGGCTTCCTTCTGAGCAGTTTGAGCCACCAAACTTTCGTTGAGTAATCAGATAATCGGCTGTTTGTACCACACAGAGATTCCTAAGAAGTGGTTAATTCTCCCCCAATATCGTTTTTTCCTTTATTTTGGTCACGTTGTTGTTAGTTGCCATGGAATCAGCTCTGGTTCTTGGCGATGGGACATGGCCTGGTCCTGTGTCCCCATCGTGGTTATTGCTCTGTTTGAGTTCATTGCTTCCATCACTGGGCCAATGACTCCATGGCCAACAACTAGGAACTAGTGGGGGTTGGCCACTGGCCCAGGAGGAGATGATCAAAAATGACATGTGCACTTTCCAGGTCACAGACCTTAAAAAGAAGCTGAGACCAGAAGAATGAGATGATGCTCAGTTATCTCTGCCTTTATGACCACGGCTATGGCACACGGACCCTTGAACATGAGCAGCAGACCTCAAATTCTTAAAAAGTCCAGATTTCTGAGGCCGGTTAAGATAGATAACTCTCTAAGACTTTGATCAGAGATAGTCTTTAAACCAGGGGTGGGAAACAGCTGGCCCACGGGCCATATTAGGCCTGTGATATCTTCAATACTAGCTAACATTACATATCTCACCAAAGGGAAGCAATTCTAGCCATCACATTAAACCCTAAATCAAACCCACTGCTATCAAGTCAATGCCAACCCATATCGACTCTGTAGGACAGAGAGAACTGCCCCTGTGGGTTTCCAAGACTGTAACTGTCTACGGGAGTAGAAAGCCCCATCTCTCTCCCTTTGACACAGCTGTGGTTTCAAACTGAGGATCTCGCAGTTAGCAGCCCAGCGGTAACCACTAGGGACCAGGACTAGCCATCATGCTCACCCACTGCCTTTGAGGCAATGCTGACTCATAGAGACCCCCCTGTGAGTTTCTGAGACTGTAACTGTTTGCAGAAGTAGAAAGCCCAGTCTTTCTCCTGAGGAGCTGTTGGTAGTTTTGACCTGCCAACCATGCAGATTGCAGCCCAACGAGTAACCACTACACCGCCAGGGTTTCTTAGCCATCACATGGGGGGTGTGTGTGTGTGTGTGTGTGTGTGTGTGTGTGAATTAATTAAATGTTTGACCAGGAGGGCCCACAAATGATGTTACAAATAGCCAAATGGCCCTGGGCAGACTAAAGGTTCCCCATCCCTGCAAAAACCTTGAACCGAAGATAAGGGGCCAGGAAAACTAGACTACTGGAGCGAGAACCACCGGAGCCATGAAAGAGATTGTTGACACATGGGGGGAAATGTGACCAATGTCGCTGAACAACTGTAGAGGAGTTGTGAGATGGGCACGAGTTTGCTGGGCAGACTTCCACTGAGAAGATCATGAAATATTATCTTGAAGGAAGAAAGATATCTGACTGCCCTCTGCTCTTCTTCCCCCTTTTCCTTGGTAGTGGTAAGAGGACTTCAATGTTAAGACAAGGACAGAGCACTAATCTGGATCCCTGCTTGACTATCGGGGCACAGCTGCCTGCCTACCACTTCATTTGGAGTTTTTTCTGGGAAGGAGAAGTGGACTTCGTTGGACTCTGTTGAAACAACTGAGCTCAGATCCACACGAATAGCACTGTGCTGGGTGTCAGTGTAGGACGTTATGTGATTCGGCTGTTGTGCGAGTATCATATTCCATGAGTGCATACAAGGGTAGATAAATGGATAGAAAGAGTCTTGGTGGTGCTCTGAGTTAGGCACTGGGTTGCTGGTCCAAAGGTTAGTGGTTCAAACCCACTAACCACTTGGGAAGGGGGTGGGGGTTGAACGATGAGGCTATCTGCTCCTGTAATGATGTACAACCTCAGAAACGCTACATAGGGTTGCTATGAGTCAGAGTGGACTCAATGGCTGAGATAGCTAAGGTTGATTGTGCCAACCTGGCCAATGAACACATGTGGGCTTAACTGAAGGGAGGAGAGATAAATGGCTTGGCGAGCCTTGCCTTGCTTGTCTCTTGCTCTTTGATCATTGGACCAGTGTGCGGCTGCCTTGCTTGTTCTGTGCCTCAATTTGCAAGCTACATTACCCGTGGGACACCTAACCCATGGACTGTGTCACTGTAATTTGAGGTTCCTTCAAGATCTGCTATGCCTGCTACTGGACCTGCTACTGGAATATACATCTCTTGAGCTGAGGACTGTCGAACCCTGTCTTCTGGCTGACTGTCAGTAACCTGCTTTGCTGTTTGCTGCCTGTGCCCGGATAGCCTGGATTACTCTACAGAGGACTACCTGGCGGCCCTCAAGACTTGAAGGACTGTCAGTGTACCTGCTGTCTCACGGAAGTGAGTTGCACTGAGCCATTTGTACTGCTTTATAGATTAATTAACTTTATTTCTTATGTTATATATCTACCTATCTATATAAATATATATATATATTTTAGTGTCCTGGTTTTGTTTCTCTCGAGAACCCTGTCTAACATAATGGCAGTTTGATATACATTAGATACACGATAGATCGACAGACATAGATAATGATATAACAATTAGAGTAAATGAACAATGTGTGTAACTGTATAACCTCAGGTCAAGGTAACAAGTAATTCAACCTACTCTGGAAACTTCCTTCAGTTTGACACACAAAAGAAATCCGTACTGCTTTTAAATTTCATTTTATTTGTACATTGGCCATACATTTATGCCAAACCAAGCAAACCTATTTCTTTTCATTTGATAACTAGATGCTTATCTCAGTATAAGTATGTTGGGTTTAATCCATCCATGATCCTGGGACATTTAGGTTGTGTCTGCTTTTCATTACAACGATGCCAAGAAATCCCTGCACAGAAGTCAACACGTGTTGAGAGAACATGTAGCGACATTGAGTCCATATCGGTCAGTCTTCTGGGGATGTGCATGAGGTGGTTGGTAGGCTTGTGTTTCTTGGGCTAGCGTGCAGCTCAGCATCTTTCAGGAGGGTTTACTGCCACCCCCAACCCCTCCGTGGTTTGCTGGCTCACGGCTTTGCTCCCATTTCCCTCGGGTGGCAGGGTTGTGTGACTGCTTGCTGTGAGCTTCTTGCCTCTCCTGGATTTCAGTGGCCTTGGAGCCCGTCCTGGCCTGTGCAGACATAGTGTGTGGAGAGGCAAGCCGGGCCCTAGGAGGTTCTTAAGGCTGGGATCTTCCAGATGCAGAAACTGGGGTCTACAAAGCTCGGAAGGCTGTACGATGCTTCAGCAGCAGGAATTTGGTTCTACAAAGTCCTTCAGGGGATGGTCATTCCACAGCAGATGGCCAGACCTGCCTTCCCGGGCATCTCTCTGTGCGTGGGTTCCGATGGCCAACCTTTCCAATAATAGTTGAATTCTTAACTGTGCCTATGGGGCACAAAAATTGTACATTAGATGGCGACGATTTTTCTCCAGTTTTGGACATGCCCCTCAAGGTTCTTAAGGTGTTAGGGGCCAAGAAAGAGGTTTCATCAGGAGCGGAGAGACCCCGCTTCCCCAGAGCAGGATCAAGGCAGGTGGAGCGTTTTCCTCAGCACCGCGTGGACCTCCTTGTTGCGCAGGCAGTAGATGATGGGGTTGCATATGGGGGTGACCACCGTGTAGATGACCGACAGCACCTTGTTGAGGTCCATGGACTTGATGCGGCTGGGGCGGCAGTAGATGAAGAGGGCGGCGGAGTAGAAGATGCCCACCACCACCAGGTGGGAGGCACAGGTGGAGAGAGCTTTGCGGCGGACCGCGGCTGAGGGCATGCGGAACACAGCCACCCCGATGGCTGCATAGGAGACCAGGGCCACTAGCAGCGTCCCACAGAAGATGACAATGGCCGAGATGAAGTCCACCAACTCGGTCAGGGCCACGTGCGTGCAGGACAGGTTGAGCAGAGGGGAGACGTCACAGAAAAACTGGTTGAGGACATTGGGGCCACAGTAAGAGAGGCTGGCGATGCATGTGGTCTTGGCCACTGAGACCAGAAGGCCACCAAGCCACGAGCACAAGGCCAAGGCCAGGCAGACCTGGGGCCGCATGAGCAGTGGGTAGTGGAGCGGGCGGCAGATGGCCACATAGCGGTCATAGGCCATGGAGGCCAGGAGAGTGCACTCGGTGCATATTAATACAATGAAGAAGAAGAGTTGGGTCATGCAGGCTGTGAAGGGCACGGGGCAGGGCCCCGCCCACAGCCCCACGAGCAGGCTGGGCATGGTCACAGACACGTAGCACATCTCCAGGCATGGTCACAGACACGTAGCACATCTCCAGGCAGCTCAGGTTGCCCAGGAAGAAGTACATGGGCTTGCGGAGCTCGCTGTGCGTGCAGACGAGGTAGACGATGAGCGTGTTCTCCAGGAGGGTCAGCAGGTAGAGGGTCAGGAAGACGGTGAATAGAGCATGTCTTATACCTGGCCTGGTGGACAAACCCAGCAGGATAAACTCCTGGACTCTGGTCGTGTTGGCCAACTCCAGGGACGTCTCCATCTAGGGAGAGACAAAGAAAATCCGTTGCCATCCTGGAGGCAGAGGGAGGGGCTAGTTTAAACCAGCACGCCAGGGCCAGGTGTGTCTCAGCCGAACTCCGCTCCCCACTGTGTTGGAGGCTGTGGCTTTTGGAGAAAGAGCCTCAGACGTTCCTCCCAGACGTCCTAGGATTTGCACTACAAAACCTGCAGCGCAGGGTGCTCATCATGGTACCACCAAGAGCATCTAAGTCATCAACCGGACTTTGGGCTGATTCCTCTATTGACAGGCTCTGAAGGAAGTCCGTGTGTATATAAATGCCACCCCCCACCCCCACCCCAGCCCTTTCTACTTGTGCTGTCCCGGAGAATCCTTTCTCCTGGACTCTCAACTTTCTGACTTGTGAAAAGCAGGAGTGTGACTCGTTGCTTCCCCCTCCCCTCCTTTGGAGGTAGGGATTTTCTCTCCTCCTCCTTCCTTATCAACCATGAGCACGAGTCTCAGAGCCTACCATATTTACAGGTAAAATTCCTTCCAATAAAATCACTTTCATGTCTGACCCAGAGCCTTCAACCCTCATCCCCCAAGGCAACGACGGCTGCTGTTTCTGACGTGGTCTTGGGGCCGACCTCCAGAGACGGATCCTGTGAATACCCTCACCTGTAGGTACATGAGTCCTTTCAGATTGAACCGTGGCACACAGCAAACTCCCCGAATCTCCCTTTTTAAAATTAACGACATATCTTGAAGCTCATTTAAGAGCATCATGCAGCTACCTTCTTCCTTTTAATGGCCCCAGAGTCAGTCCATGGACACAAACAAAATAAAACAAAATTAGTTGCTATCAACATACTATTTCTGAAGTCTCGCCTTCTACTTTCCAGGCACAATGCCAGCAATGTGCATGCTTTGATTCAACTATCTCAAGCACCCTTCCAAAACAGCTATCATAACCCTAGTCTTCTGAGGGATGGAAAGCAAAACTCCTTTGCCTCAGGTCATTTGACCAATACCGAAAATGTGCCCTCCAGTTTCTCTGACCCACAACACGGGGGACCCTTATTCTTATACCTGCGCGCACCATCCGGGACCCTCATTCTTATACCTGCGCGCAACATCCGGGACCCTCATTCTTATACCTGCGCGCACCATCCGGGACCCTTATTCTTATACCTGCGCGCATCATCCGGGACCCTTATTCTTGACCCTTATTCTTATACCTG